AGTGTTATGAATTTAATATTTGAAATTTAAAAAATCTCTTTTATATATTTATAAAAGATATGGTACTAAATTTTTTTTTTTTTGGTGAAGTAATATTTATACTAAATTATATTATTCTAGATATATTGTGTAAACTTTAAATTTCTCAACCCAGTTTTAGTTCTTATTATAGTGTTTCATTTTTCATTTTTTTTAAGTCCCTGAAATGTAGTGGATATTTAACTTAAAAGACAAATTCAACTTTGCAAAATATAAATTAAATAAAATCTCCTGACACTAAAATTACATAAAATGCCCTCATACTGCTGTATTAAGAACATAAGAACCCAAGGACAAAAGCTGCAGAAAATTGTTGAAAAGGATAGCAATTAATCTTGGAAAATGACTTCACCGAGCAAACTGTGCCAATCCAATTATAAGGTCCATAAATTTTCTCAGATTTTCATCCATGTTACAAGGTTCAATAACATCTCACGAATTGATTAAAAAGATAAGCTTGTTTAGAATTGACAATTAAACCTTCTGATTTACTTTTGTAATCTCTGATAATATATATATATATATATATATTAAGCATTTTAATACTAAAAATAAAATTATTCAAGAAATCGAATTAAATTGTATGAATCATTCAAACACACTATAATTTGATTTGATTTAATTGCAATAAAAAATTATATTGTTTGGTTTACAGTTTAACTATTAATAAATTGTGTAAATCGAATCAAATTGTAATATTTATATTTATGCGGAATCAAAATCTTATATTGATATATATAGTTTATTTTTTTATTTAAGTATACACTTTTTATTTCTGTTATCTTTTATGTCTATACTTTTTTATGATACTTGATTATTTTTTTTCTTAAATAGTAATTTTAATCACTATGAATTTAAATTCTATGGCACTATATGGACTCATTTGATTAGTTAAATTAGATAAAATAGGATATGAGAACATCCAGATAAATTGTTTTGACTGTATAATATTTTGGATTATTACATTAAATTTGGTAAATTTAACTAAATTTTGAATAAAACATTATATAAACATATAAATTATCAAAATATCTTTTTATTTTCTTAGTGGTAATGAATTGTGGGTAGTTAGCAATGGTGGTGGTTGCCATTGATAGGCAACGGCGGATGGTAGCCAATGATGGGTGGCGATAGGGGGCCAGCTAGGACAGGTCAGTAGTGGGCAGTGATAATAAATGGTTAATGATAATTGTGAATGATATATGAATGGTTAGAACAATATTATTCAAAAAGGCTTGTAAATATTAAATAAATTATATCATCCCATATAATGTATTCAAATATAACTAAATAATTATTCTACTTAAATTTTTTATTTAATTTCATTACCTAGTTCATCAAATATTAGAGAAAAAGTCAAATTTGTGCAAATAATTTATTTTTATTCACGCTTATCCAACTTATTAAATAAGTCTTATAAATATATTTATAAAATAATATATAATTACCATGATTAGTTGATAAATAATAAATTTATTAAATTAAATATATTAAAAAATTGAATGTATAATTTTTTTAAAAAAATTCTGCCAATTTTATAAAATAATAATTTAATCTATTTTATTACTAAGAATTAAGATAATAAATTATAATTTTATTTTATTTTTATAAATAATAAACAAAGAATGTAATTTAATTTGCACTTCAATCTCTAACCCAACCAAGCCCCACCCGCCAGGAACACCTTAACCGGAAATGCAATTACCTGCACACCAAGTCTCGCGTCCTTTTCCGGCCCGTGCTCGGAGAAAGCGACGGGAGGCTGCTCCTTGTTGGAGCATGTAAGACAGGTGAACGTTGAAGTTTGACATACGTGGGGAAGAAATAGTTTATTCAGCTTGAACAGTCTGCTTGAGGAAGGCATAATTCAGGCATATGCCAAGTCTGCCTAAGCTAACGTGCTGTCTTTTCAGTTGAGTGGACATGTGCCCTGCCAAATAGGGAATTATAAAATACTTGGGATGTTTCCCCTTATTCATTTATAATAAGTTGGAATATGCAAAAATTAGTGATTTTATTTCTTGTTTTGGTAGTTACCAAAAGTCCAATAAGCTAATAAAAAAGCAACTTAAACTTTCTTTGCACTTATAGAGGGCGTTTGGGTGGATTTTTTTTTTTACAAAAAGTATTTTTTTTGTTAAAAAATGATTTTGATTAAATGAAGCATATTTTTATAGAATTAGTATAAGAAGTAGAACGGGTCAAAAAATAGTTTTTTTTTTTTAATTAGTAGGACCAATTTTTTCAAACTTTTTCTTGGGTGGAATAGAAAGAAACCAATTTAAAAACACAAAAATTTTATTTTGGACAAAAATGTTTGTCTAAATTTCAAAATGACAGTTTATAGCCCATCCTTTTCTTCTCATAGCCATGATCGATTGTCGTTCCCCTTTCGCCCCTTGACTCAACCCTCATCTAGCCGTCATCTTGCCAGTCAGCAAATTTAGCAAAAATTAGCTCAAAAATTTTATTAAGTGGCATAAAATATGCTGAAAAGGTAATAATAATAAATATATATTTTTTTGTTAGAGTCATTCGATAAATTAGATAGGATAAAGTAGAATATGACAAGTTTTAAATAAAGTATCATGACCGCATAATACTCTAAATAATTGTCTTGTTTAGCAAATATAATGACTAACAGTGATAGTAAAGGTAGTATTATTTAAAGAAGTTGGGTAAAGGTCGGATAAAATTATTTTACACATTTCCCAAATATAGTTTATCCACATTTAATCTTACTATTATTCAATTTCTCTCGTATCTGGATTTTATTTGATTTCACTTTATCTTACTTATCGAACAAAGATCATGATAGAATAAAGGTAGATAAATTATCTTTATCCACTCTTATTTAGACTATCGAACGAGCCGTTAGAGTATATATTTTCCATTGTACTAAGTGGCATAAGATAAAAAAAAAAAGAAGTCAAGAGAATTTTAAATCCATTATAATACCTTTTTAAATCTCTCTAAACTTGAAGAAATTTGAAAACAAAAATACATTATACTTACTAAAAAATTTGTAATCTCAAAAATTACACAAGCAAATATAAAAATGTACTCCAAAACTCAACATATCTTTTTTCAACGTTAAGAGTGGTGAGCTCATGAAAAAATTTAAGATTTTCGTCACTTTAGTTCATCTCTCATAAATATTAAAAATTTCTCACCATAGAAATATGAACAGCTAATTTTGCAAGAGTTCCAAAAATCTAGTAAAATATAAAAATTAAATGACCGCCATCTCCTGATATTTTTTCAATTATCCAATAAAAGGGGAGAAATCAAAATATTTCTCTTTCTAGTGACTTATTTGCTAATTTAGCAAATCACGCCCTCGTGAATCTCAACTTTCTATGGGAGCGTTTGTCCCAATTCCTAAATTGAGCATGGGTTTTTCTTATATGGACTGTTAGCCCAAACTATCCACCTGGCCCATATCAAGTCAGCCTTAAGCTTCCAAAAGCAAAATCTAGAAAAGAATTAAGGCAAACAATAAGGCATTTATAACATATAAGCAACTAATTATCCTCTAAATTACCTTAATACCATGAATTATATTACAAAAATCTTGATATTCATCCATTTGCGGCATGAACAAATGTAAAGTACTTGCACTAGTAAATCGATCAATCAATCAATCAAAATGGCCTCAATTGGCAAGGTGGAATCACGTTAAGGAATAAAAATTTAGAAAATTCAATTTGGTCTATGAAATATTTTTCTTACGATGAATAATGAATAGGGTTTCCTTTCTTTCTTTTTTTTCCCCTTTAACCTATAAACTTAGAATTTTCATACATGCCTTATTTAATTAAAAGTTATTTAACAGTGACCCTATCTACAACAGTCTTGAGGTGACGAAATTTTTTGCCAAAAAAGTTTGGACCCACACAAATTACATGACACCTGTGATTTATCAATTCTAATTTTCTTTTTATCATGTCAAATAAGTTCATTTGTTAGTTGTTTGGAGGATTAAAAGTATTGTAAAACTTTTTACTTGTGAAAATAAAATAAAAAAGATGGAATGGAAATTAAACTCTATAAGATCAAATCCTTTGTTATTTTTTGGTAGCACGATGGTAGACAAAGTTAACCATTTCCATTTTGTTTAATTGAGAGGAATTAATTGCATTTTTTTAAGTATAGAAGTTCCAGAATGTAAATTATCGATAGATTATATAACGTGAATAATTATTTTTATATCAAATATATCAAACACGAAAATTTTTTCATTGGGAGGAAAACACCTCTATGTCATATTGAATTAATTAAATCTATAAACTTTGCAGAAATTGGGAAAAGCAACCGCTGAGCCAATTGCCAGAATATTCTTTACCTTTGTTTTCTACAAAAATGAAGGGTTATTTTATAATAATTTTATTTGTTTGCAATCTATTTTAAATTGATTTCAGACAAGGGTGTGATAAATAATTCCGCCAATATCCTGGGCCTCCTTGACAAAAAGAGCATCTTCTCCATTATGGGAGGAAGCCTCATTCATCCGCCACGTGGCAATACGTTTGACTTGATGATTGCCCGGTTGTGAAGTTTCAAATTTCAAATCCCAACGGTCATGTTTTAAGCATAACGGGGAAATGTATGTTTGGTTGGCTCCCTTGCCGAACGAAATCAACGCCCTTTTGAAAGGAAATTTTTTTCTTCACTCTCTCCCCCTCTCACAAAAATATTCAAAAGCATTCATTGATTCCCTTTTCTCTTTTGCCCCTAAAAATATTAAGTGTATTTGATTACCAATTCAAATAGTTTCGCTCTCTTTATCAATGGAAGACGAACAGTGGCATGACCCACTTCTTATCACGGACGTTTCTTGGCAACAAGAACGCAATTCTTACCCAACGGTAGAAATTATCCGCTTTCACTCAACTCCTTGCTCAACAGATATAACATCTTCATCTAGATTATTTTATTCAATCGATCCTCTCACTTGGCAGAGCCTTTAATTTCGTTTCGGAGCTCAAGAGCTTCAACAATGGCAGATCCAGATGACACTCCTGATTCGAATGCAGGTACTCTCTTGAAATCTTTATAGGAACCTCTCACTTGTGGAAAATGATTATTATTTTCTACAATGATTGCTGATTGTTTTGCTGGTCTAGATGTTTCTTGGCAAAATCGTAGCATCGAAGTCAATACTACCGAAAATCTCCCTAACCGAATTTCAAGCAGTGCTATTGACGGTAGGGATTTGAAAAAGTCCACATCCACCCCTACCCTTTCTATGTCTCTACACATTCATTTTGATGCAAATTCAGCTTTATTCTCTACTTTTAGGTCGGTCCATGCTGGGATTTTCTTTAACATCCCCGATTTAGTTATCTGTGCCGGTTCACCCGACATTCCCAGTGGCAGCTACAAGGAGTCCCCTAGGATTTTCAGGGGTGCCTCCATTGAGCTTTCCTTAGAAAATGGCATTAATGGGCCAGAAGTAGAAAACCAGGCAACCCCAGATGCCGCAAAGTGTCAATCAACTTGGCAAGTGGAGGAGGGGTACAATAGTCCAGAAGTTTCCTTGGAGCTTCTTCCAGCATCACTGATTGAAGAGAAGTTTCCTGAAAAATCCCTCCCTGTTGTATGCATCAATTCAGGCTCACTAGATGAAGCAGCAATGCTGGCTGGGACTAATTTTCTAGGGGACAGTTTTTTCTCTGGTGGTGATACTATAAGGACTGACAATGAAATTGGAGATGGAGCAGAAATGAATCTTTACCAAACAGCACGACTCGGTAACTTTTCGTATAACCTCAATGCATTGGAAAGGGGGAATTACTTGGTCGATCTTTACCTTGCAGAAATTGTGTTTACAAATGGCCCTCCCGGAATGAGGGTGTTCAATGTTTACTTGCAAGAGCAGGAGGTAAGAAGCCATGGGCATAAACTGCTAAGGTTTCTAATAAATTACACTTGCATAATGTATTATCTATCAGCTGTTATTGATTTCATCTTCTTGTAGGTTGTTTCTGACATAGATATTTATGCTCGAGTTGGTGCAAATAAGCCTCTAGTTATCTCTGATCTGAAAACCTTTGTTAGTGGTGATGAGGGCTTGTCTATTAGATTTGAAGGAGTGATTGGAAGCCCTCTTGTTTGTGGCATTCTGTGAAGAAAGATCTTTCAGCAAGTAAGTTGATAATATTACTTGAAAATGACCATAGGAAATGTTTGCTGGCGAAGGAATAAATTTGAAACCGTCCCCGAGGTCTAAAATGATATATTTTTTTTAACTTGTTTTCAGGTATAGAAGAAATTGGATTGCTCAATGCTACAGGAATGTTACAAGAAAACAGGCCATCGAAAGTAACAATTCTATTAAGCCCTACATGATGTTGTAAAGCAATGTAATTGGAGTAAATAGAAATTTCTATCTTTATTTTTTATAAATCTTTTCGTCATCCTAATGTGAATTAGGATTGTAAGGACACTGAAGTGGAAGGAGAATTTCAAAAGCTTCTATTAGGGTATGAGTGCCAGAAAAAGGAGCTGATGGAGACAAGGGGGGCACTAGAGGAGCTTAGGAGAGAGAATGAATTTAAGAGCAAAGAGTGCCAAGAAGCATGGAAGTCTTTAAAGGAGCTCCAGAATGAGCTCATGCGCAAGTCAATGCATGTTGGTTCCCTGGGTATGAGCATTCCATTAAATTGATAATCACAATTGATAGAATTGATGAATTTGAAAGGTTGATCACCTGTCCACTTTAAACAGCTTTTGCCGTAGAGGGACAAGTGAAAGAGAAGAGCAGATGGTTTTCATCCTTGCGAGATCTTAAAAGGAAATTAAAGGTAGAAATAATTCTTATAGAATCCTCCTTCACGTTAGTTTAGATAGTCCAAGGTATATGTGATTTGTTTTGGCATGTTATTTTTCGACAGATCTTGAAAATGGACCAAATCAAGCTGTCTGAGGAAGCATTATCTTACAAGAAGTTTGTGGCAGATATGAATGACATGAGCTGTATCATTCAGTCCAAATGTAAAAATTTCCCACCCTATCTGATTCTCTAATCTTTATCCACTTAGTTTTCTCTCTCCCTCAATTCATATTCATTATTGACAGTAAATCAGCAAGTACAGTTACATGAAGATCTCAAAATCAAATTCATCAAAGGGCCAAGGAACGGAAAGAATTTTACAACAAGCTCCTGGAGTTAAAAGGTTTGCAGTAAGTTTGATCTTTTATGGTGAATGAAGCATGTCAAGAAATTGAAAGGTGCCTAAATCAGTCAACCACGACTTCCTTTTGCAGGGAACATTAGGGTCTTTTGCAGGTGTAGACCACTGAACGCTGAAGAGATTGCTGCCGGAGTTTTGATGGCAGTTGATTTTGAAGCTGCTAAAGATGGGGAGCTGATAGTAAAATCAAATGGTGCACCAAAAAAGAGTTTCAAGTTCGATGCTGTTTTTGGTCCTCAATCAAGCCAAGGTAACTAAAATAATAATGTTGTCATGACAGTGCGTAAATTTAAATAGATTATAACCATACGATGATACCTATTGAATTTTTATAGGTGATATCCATATATGTATACACATATGTATTACCAACTTCTTGTTTTTACTTGCACAGTTGATGTTTTTGAGGACACAGCCCCATTTGCAGCCTCAGTCCTAGATGGATACAATGTGTGCATATTTGCATATGGGCAAACGGGAACTGGGAAAACTTTTACAATGGAGGGCACAGATGAAGCCCGTGGAGTCAACTATAGGACTCTTGAAGAGTTGTTTCGCATCATTAAGGAACGACAGGGGCTGTTTCAATATGAAGTATCAGTCAGTGTTTTAGAGGTTTACAATGAGCAGATTCGAGATTTGCTAGGATCAGGAACTCAGCCAGGAGTAACTGCCAAAAGGTAGGGCAACAAGAAGTTAAATCAATCAGTGCTTAATGAAAAGTTAAAATGGAATGGGATGTTTATGCAACTTAATCTGCTTTGTTACCGCTGAACACTAATAATTAAGCAACAAAACTACTGAATGCTGACTTGGACTAAATGCTTCCCACTTCAATTCAGGCTTGAGGTAAAGCAAGTGGGAGAGGGAATACATCACGTCCCAGGACTGGTTGAAGCTAATGTGAACAACATGAGTGAGGTTTGGGAAGTTTTACAGACAGGCAGCAATGCAAGAGCAGTTGGATCAACCCATGCTAATGAGCACAGTAGTCGATCTCATTGGTTGGTTCCACCAGCATAACTCCTTCCAATTCATTTTAATTGATTTTTGACAAAGAAGATATGTAGAATATTAGAGTTTGCTACTTTCTGATGCAGCATACACTGCGTAATGGTCGAGGGAGAGAACTTGTTGAATGGGGAAAGCACAAGAAGCAAGCTTTGGCTGGTTGATCTAGCTGGAAGCGAGCGAGTACCTAAAGCTGAAGTGCAAGGAGAAAGACTAAAGGAAACTCAGAACATCAATAGATCTCTCTCTGCTCTAGGAGATGTTATATCTGCTCTTGCAACCAAGAGCCCACATATCCCCTTTAGGTGTATAAAAATTCACCCAAAATCCTTTCTTTGTAAATTCATAATTCTACAGTGTATTTATTTCTAATGCTTCCTTTTTGGGTTCGTACAGGAACTCCAAGCTCACCCACTTGCTTCAAGACTCTCTAGGTACGTAGTTGTTCAGAAGTTGGAGCAAGAGAAATCACATTTTTACAATTCTCTAGTAAAATAGATTATATTGTTTCCACTGAGGAGAAAAAAAGGAACAATTAACTTACCATGTTTTTGCATTTGTAGGAGGGGATTCAAAGACGTTGATGTTTGTACAGATAAGTCCCAATGAGAATGACCAGAGCGAGACACTTTGCTCACTCAACTTTGCCAGTAGAGTGAGAGGGATAGAGTTAGGTCCTGCAAAGAAGCAAATAGACAGCAGTGAGCTTTTAAAATATAAACAACTGGTAAAATTAACCTTTAATTTTTCATAATTTTCTCCAAGCTTCCTACTACTACTAATGTCACAGCTTGGTTATCATTTTCTGCTTGTTAGGTTGAGAAGGCCAAGCTAGACTTAAAAGGCAAAGATGTGCAACTTAAAAAGATGGAGGACACAATCCACGGTTTGGATGTGAAGATGAAAGAAAAAGACCTGAAAAACAAGAACTTGCAGGACAAGGTATATTTAACATAAAACCATTGTGCAATGATTGGATAAAAAGATTTACTATTTGAAATTTGAGGGCTAAATAGAATTCATTTGGCAGATTAAGGAGTTGGAATCACAACTTCTAATAGAAAGAAACTAGCACGGCAACATGTTGAGTCGAAACTGGGAGAACAACAACAACTAATGAGACAACTGCAAGAAGAGCAGAACTCTGCCGTTACTAGGCCACCGCTAGCAACTAGACCACTCGGACTTAACAAGAACTTCAACGAAGGGAAAGAACAAGTAAACCACATTCGACCACTTTCTGAGAACAACACTTGCAAGCTTCCATCAACCCCCCCTCATAATGATCCCTCAGAGAAAGAAAACAATCCCGACATAGCAGAGCAAATATTTATACCAAAACGAACTGGGAGGGCTTCTCTTTGCCCCGTGGCACACAGGAACATTCCCATCTCTTCAGCTCCACGGCGTGCATCTCTGATCCTTTACCATTGCCAACAATCCTAGCCGGCAAAAAGGAAGACACAGAAGGGGTTGAAGCTAAAGGCTTTCCTGAACCCACACCCTTGGAGAATAGTCCCAAAGAGCTCAAGAGCGGGGGGAAGAAGCTGACCAGTGCATTGAGAAGAAGCCTTCAGAAGAGAATTCAGATTAGGTCCCCAATGCCACAACATGTGAGGAGAGGAGGCGTGAATGTGGGGATGGAGAAAGTTAGGGTCTCCATCGGGGGCCGAGGGAGGGTGGCTCATAGGATGTTACTTGGTAATGCTAGGAGGGCTATGAAAGATGTTCAGCAGAAGCAAAGCCAGAGGGAGAAGGAAAGGGGATGGAATATTGGAACTGCAGGGAAAACAGTCCTATGAAGAGCAGTGAAGATTGTTATTTTCTAATATTTTTTTTCTTTCATTGTTATGGCTGATTTGAACTAACAGTGGGAGTCGCTTCCTTGCTTGCTTGCAAGGATCAGCCGGAAGAAAACAAACCAATACACCTTTATTGATTTCATGATTTTTTATTTTTTTTTTGTGCTTTAAGTCTTGTACCATTGGTGTGATTATTGTGTAAATATCACTAAATTCATCAATGAGATCACAGTTTCCACAAGCCTCAGTCTTGCCTGTCCCTCTTATTTTTTGGTTGATAATTTTCCTTGCATAATGATATAGAAAGATAACAAACATCAGGAGAGATTTTTCACACTTCATGATACAAAAAGACTCGTATGAAACAATGCTGATGCATACTCGTGCTATAGCATGATGGATTGAGAAAAGTTCAGATCCCACAGCTACAAAATTTTACATTTTGAATATGTACATAGTCTGCTATATGTATACATGGGTTTGTTTGCCACCAAAAAACTGTATGAAACCTCCACAACCGAACCATAAAACCATAATTCACACTGCAAAACGTCAAATTCCCGGGCTTCCTTCAAAAATGGATGCGTTAACATTATTATAAGATGTAAGAGAAGCTCCATTTACCTGAAAAAGAAAGACCATTCAAATAGAGATGTATAAATTAGCCTGAATGACTAATCACATGGGCAAATAACACCACAAACCTTATGGCCTAAAGGATGAAGAATTACACAAGTCAGTTAAGTACCAACCATCCTCTTCCAGATTTTCCAAGGGGAACTAATTTTTTGGGCATTTGGTTTGGAGACTAGTGCCCCCTTGACTTTCTCAGCTGCAGGCTTCATTTCCCTAACAAATTTAACAGACTTGGAGAGTTAATTGAGCAGGTTTACCAAAGCAGTTACTTCATTTCTTTCCAGATGTAACTGTAAAAACAGGTCAAAAAAGATAATTTGTCAGGGAAATGAACTTGAGATACTACCAAATGCTTTTGCAATTAAAGTAATTACCCAATAGGAAACTCGTTAACAAACTGCATAGGGAAAAGTAAAGGGAAATGGTTTTGCCATGTCGTAGGCCCAAAGTCTCCTGCATGGGCCCGAAGCTCCTAAAAGCCAATCTTCTGGAAGAAGCTTTTCATGGTTTGACTTAACAAATTCCCGCAGTCAGCATCAGAAAATATAGTAACTCACAGTTTGACGTGGGTGGTATTGACAATCAACAGAGAAGAGGATCTTTAATGCGGTGCCCAGACCAAGAACTTGAAGCTTCCCCAAAGATGGCCTTCTCACATTGGACACAATCGATCAGGGAACTGAAGAAAATGTAGAATTTCAGTCATAAGCTGAAAAGCTTTGCAAATGACAAGTGAATAGCATGTATATTATCACAATTACCAGATATTTTCCCCTTTATAGTTGTACAGGTCAAAGTCAATCGATCAAGTACCCTAAAATATAGAATTTTCTTCTATTTCTACTAGATTTCATAAGAGTTTATGTGGCATATAACCAAATTTTCTTCCATTGCTACTAGATTCTATAAAATTTTATTTGGCATATATATTCAGTTGAACATTAACTGCATGCAATAGTAATGCGATGACAATCAGAAGACCCTTTTTGGTCCCTGAAGCAGGAGTGAGGGCCTTTGCGCAGAAGAGGCAACCTTGGTGTCATGGGTTTAAAGCAGCTCCTTTGGATGGACAAGTATGACAGTGTGTACATGACCCTCTCCAAATAGCATGATTAGGGAAGCCAAATGAACAACAATTTGTTAAAATGTCATAGATAACCTAATTTTTCTGAATTGGTACTGAATCTTCTGCTTCCATTTCCCCAAATAAACAAGACATTGTTAAACATCATAAATAACCTAATGTTTCTGAATTGCTGCTGAATCTGCTGCTTCAGCTGGGGTCCCTTTTGGTCTTGCCACAGCTTGCTTTCATCAAATGGAAGAGGACATGCAGCTTGCAGTTTTGGGTTGTAAACTAACTGACAAATCAAGAATTGAGCTTTTCAGTCCTCAGCGTGGTTACCAGTGTCATAATCAGCCTACTCCAAGTAATTTGCTGCCTAATACGCAATAAATTGAAAAAAAAAATAAAAAAGGGCAAAAAAAAGAAATACACCCAAGAATTAAAAATGTCATTCTGAAAAGACGTGATCAGACTACTCAAAACAAGGACATGAAATGCTAGTACTCACTTTCGTCATGGCTCGAAGAACAAAAAGGAAAGTGAAATACAAGTTTTTAACACGCTCAGGATATCTCAAGACACAATCATACATTAGTTCAGGGTTATTACCCCACTCTAATGACAGAAAAGATTGTCAAATACCAAGATTTAGCTAAACAAAGAAACAAATAAGCTCATTATTGTCACAGCAAATGGGGCCTGTTAATATGGGACATGAATTTTCAAACAAGGTCCTATAAATAGTTCCTTATCATCCATGGCTAAAAGTGCCCTATGTTGCAAAAAAAAGAAGGATAATTCCAGCAGCTACTAAACCTTCCATATTGTCCATAACAGGTAAGATAGTACACTACAAATTATCCACACAAAATCTTGTAAGATAGAAAAGAAATTGCAAGAGTTAAGAGTCAGAACCAGGTTTCCAGATTCATCACACAGATAATTAGCAGCTATATGGATTGAATTGAGGAGTGAACACCAGATATTAGTTTGTATAGAATATTTTTCTCTTCATGAGTCTCTCCACAAGTATCTGCATTGAGGGAGAAAAAACTATTAACTACAAATCCAATATAAAAAAAAACCCATGCACTAAAAATGCAGAAAACTTCATGAAAAATCTACAAAATAAGAGAAAAAATGTGAAACATTAATGGACCTGACACAGAGTCATAGCAAAGATTCATCATTCTAAGGGACGGAACATCAATAAAGAGAAAAACACACACATACAAATGTATGAAAATAGGTAATATGGACTAATACAGTAACCTAAGTTCTACAAATTACTGGGAATGACTAGTGCATTTATTGCATTTTATACACAAATACAGCATGCAAAAAATCCCATTGGGCGTTTCATCAGGCACCTAAAAGCCACAAGTCACATTCACAATTCATAAGAGTTTAGCCTTGTCTTAAGAATGTATTCTAAAAATTCAACACATTCTTATTAGAATAGGGGATATCAAAACTCGTACTCTTTTGCAGTACGCCTTCAACATTAATTTTGGAGAACTCAAATTTTACAAGAAACCCACATTTTGGACAATTTTCTGAATATATAGCATCCCATATTCTTATGGCAGATGGACCTCCATAGCTAGCGTAACGTTCAGGATTCAATTGAAGATTTACATATGACATCTCACCTGCAGAAATCACAAAAAAGAAAAAATTAGTTCCTTCCCCAAATTATTTTATTCAGAGTAAGGGACAAATACAACAGCCTAGAAGGGAAATACAAAATATGGATGTGGCAGAACAATTTTGAAGAATTCAGTCCTGAAATGCCACATATTTAAGTATATGATCAGACGTATAAATAGCAATTTAGATAACACTAATGGTTCCTTGATGCTTTAAATCATGTAAGAACTTTCTGTTTTTAAATATTATGATGGAATCCAAAAAGAACTATGTATATCAGAAATAACTAGCAAGTTCCAACTTAAAAAATAAAAATTAGTGAAAACTTAGCATTTCAAGGTTAGATGCAAGTACAACCATCCATCTCATCATCATGAGTCCAAGGGTTGTCTCTTTCTGTCCAGTGGAAGAAATCTTTAACGTCTGGTCTGCGGTCAACTGTATCCTGTGGTTTCTTCCCTTCTTGGCACATCAAATTAGCATATGGGGACCTTGATGAAGTGCCTACTTAAAAGTTTCATGAAATTCATTGTCTGGATATTCACAAAAACTACAATTGTGCAAGCGGCGGTCATCATCCTCAGACTAGAGAGGGCAGTCAGACCACAGCCTCACCTGCCACAGGGAAACTAAGTTATTTAGAACTATTATAAACTCACAAGGTTTCTTAAGAGGAATGCCACAGCTTGATCTCAAAGTCTTCTTTTTCCATTTTTGTTTTCCAAAAACAACGTGGCAGACCTTGAAATATTTGAAAAATGGAGTGGTGACGAGCTCTTGAAGCAACGGATACAACACTTGTTCATTAAGGCTGTCTACCGTTTCATAATCACAATGGCAATCATCATCCACTCCGTTAAATTTCCATGAATCCTGCACCAATTACAAAACTTAAAACCAGCAGACAACATAAACCTTTCAGGTTCGTATATTTCTCAACATTTCAAAGTGGAAAAACTCAACTGTGATGTTAAAAAAAATTTCCTATCAAATATTCACAATTCTTCTTTAATCCATCAACTGTCCACAGCACCAGTTTCTTAAAAGTTGAGCAACCCCTTAGCTCACGAATCAAGGGAGTATTGGCAGGATTCATTTATCTAGGTTTGTTTTGGCTAACAGCTAGACATTTATTTGAATTTTTATGAGGCTTGTTTATAAATTATAGGGAATTAACTTTTAACGTTTTTTTGGTGGATTAAGGCTTTTGATACAAACAATATCAACAAGCTCAAAAGCATGTGTACGTAACTTTTAGAAAATACTCAAAAGGCTGACTTATGTACACTTTACACCATTTTAGTTGACAAAACATCACTAAAACTAGTTCTAATGAGATGTTTACAATCAGTAATTGAGAACAAAGAGACGTTGGAATTGTATAGAGGAAAACCTCAGAACAGTTGGAGGACTTACGATTGTCGCCGAAGAGAGAAATTTTCCGGGAGTGTCTGGAGGCGACCGCGGCTCCGGCGACTAACACCGCGATCACCGCCACCATAAACAATTCCCTTCTCTTTCTACTTCGACTCGTCTCTCCAACCATCAGCGTATAGTTGTTAACTCTGTACATTATCGTCAACCCAAAAAAATCTTCCGAAAATTCGGTTTACTAGATCATATATACACACTCCGAATGGATAGCAACGTTCTGATATCTCCTGATGCAGTGACACTGTAAATTGAGCTCATAATTCTGCAGAAAAGCTTAACTGCAGAGTGCGTGAACGTGCCATTATCGAATTACGCTTTTCGATTAAATCGGCTAGTGGTTTCGGTCGGCGAACGGCGGTGAGTGAACGGTAAGATACATTTCCCCAGCTGGAAACAAACGGCGACATACCGCCACGTAATGGTAAGGGACACGTGTTAGTCCTGCGCGGCGCTTCGTTCGGGGACAATTTGCGGAGCAAAGCGGCGGACGATGATGGCTTGGCCTTTCGGTTGGTTTTTTTTTTTTTTTTAATAGATGAGCATTAATTTTCTATCTTTTTTGAAGTTAAACCCTCGTGAGATTCTAACTTCAAATTGAAGCGACTTTCTTTTGTGATCTTGAATAAGCACTCCGATGCCTTCAAAATACTAATATACTCTCCTCGTTTGAAATTTAGAACAAACTGGGCTTGGTAATCTAGAGGTAGGGCTTAATATCACTCACTAGGCCCGTATCAAGATATGTCAATTTTGTATGGATTGAATTAGGCCCTTGATAAAGTAAATTTTAATTTAAATACAATTCAATTATTTAAAATTTTTAACCGATAAAAAATTTGAATAACATGATTTAATTATAAAAATTTATAACTTAAAATAAATAGAGTGAATATAAATTTTACCTTGATTTGATTTGTTAAAAATCTTTATCTGAATATATATTAATATATATACATATATATATTATATATACAATATATATGATATATAATATAAAATAATATTATATATATTACAATATAAAATTTGGATTAATAAATTATTTTCTTTCAAAAAATAAAAAATAAAAACATATTTTTATGTTTTTATAAAATAAAAATAAAAAATACGTATATTGATGGATTAAATATAATTATTATATACTACTAGTAAGTCAATTTTACATATTTATAGTGGATCAAATATAATTATATTATACTTTCAAATTTCAAAAAAGAGAATAGATCAATTGATATTAGTACGAGTGTAAAATATTTATAACAAATCTTATACAATCAATTTCATTAAAATCAATGTATGAAATTAATTAATATTTTGAAAAAAAAAGATAAGTGTAAATTAATATAATGAAAAATAGCTGTAATTAATTTCATAAATTGAATTTAACGAAATCAATATTACAGTTACATTGGTATCAATTAATCACTTCTCATTCAATAATTCGATTCAAATTTTTATTTCAGATATCAGATTTTATCTGGATTTGAATATAATAGCACCAAACACATATCTTATAAGATTTTAGGTCAGATTTAGATATAATATACTACTATCGGATTCAAATCTGTCATGATCCGGCTTGAATCCAATCCATTGACAGTCTTGGATTGAATACATCATCTCATCCCCCAAGACAAAAATTTTTAAAAAAATTATTATTTTGATACATAAATGATTCTTTTCTTATTAATTTCCTACAACAAAAACAAAATTCTAGTACATCAATTTCAAATTTTCAAATGTTAGAATTCAGTGCATCCACCTGCTTAAGTTAAAATTGACTAACTATTAATATGATATATATAAATAGAATGCTTAGATAGAAAATAATTTGGTGACATGCTACTGAAATGTTATTATTTTGATACATGAAAGATTAAATTTTTATTAATTTGGTATGTTAAAATTTTTTTTAATCAATTTAGTATATCAAAAATTATTTTTTAATCAATTTAGTATATCAAAAATTCTTATTTTATTATTACCCATGTTCCTCAAAAATCATAGGGAGAGAATCCCGAAGCTGGAGATTGGTTGATAACTATTTTCTCAGACAGTTTACTTAGCTCACGTTGATTTGGAGGAGCCAATTGAAATCTCTGTAATATATGAATCCAAGTTCATAGTTTTACAATTTAAACGACTTGTCATCTCTCTCTCTCTCACATTAGGGACCTTACCAAGATCATCAATTTATATTCTTCTCTTCTCCACGTGACTGTCACTTTCACTAATTGTGCTTACACTCAATTATTTTTCTGTTGGTACAATAATGCAGCTTATTCTTTTTGTTTATTTTGTTTTATTTTTCCCTTCTTCCTGCCCTCCTATCTGAAGGATTGAATGGTGCCAGTAACTGAATCAACTACACCCTGGTCTGGCACTGGCATGGACTTTTTGCTAGTTCCAAGTCCCACTAGTCTTTTTCCAAGCTCCAAAGAGTTAGCAGAGAATCTCCTCCTGCCAATCATGGCTTGTCTACTGACAGATGATCCGCCCAACTTGGTGGGTCACCAAACAAACAGAAGCTCTAGCTGTATTATGAGAATAACAAGTCTCTCCCTCTCCCCCCCCCCCCCCCCTCTCTCTCTCTCTCTCTCTCTCTCTCTCTTTCTCTCTCTCATGTTTGGTTGCTTATTCTTTTTGAATTCATATTTTATTTTCTAGCCTGTAAAAACCTCAAGACTTCTGTAGGATGTTATAATTGTTAGGCTAGCAAATCAGAAGATAAGTGTAAAAAATATAAGAATTTAAATGCCAAGTGTAAAAATCATGCGATTAAAAAAAATATATTTGTAGTTGAAGCTGTATAATTGTTGGGTTTTTAAGAGTATTTGATTCCACGCATCTCCTCTCTCTCTCTCTCTAAATATATTATGTATATATACATATGGTATCTGAGTTAATGATTATGAGGTTCTAATTGAGAGGGACAAAATGGAGGAGTCATGCATGTGACAATGTGAAGAGAGCAGAGAGTGGGGGGGACCGATTAAGAACTATAAGAATAAAGAATCCTGGGGAGGCAGTGGCCATTATCATTTTGGCTTTGGTACTTAATAACCTAAATCATGTGTTAAAATTCAATTATAGGAAGGGAGGATACATTGCACCTGGGAAGAAAGCAAAGGATTATGTCACCCTCGTATTCCTTCCCTCAGCTTCTATTCTTGTGCATGCATGTGCTTCATGCCTCTCCTTTTCCCCAAGTCCATTTATTACAATCCCTTCACACATTACACACTAATTTTATATTCATCTTATCATTTAACTGTCGGCCAAGTGTCTCCCTCCCTGCCTCTAAGTCTGATATTTCACGCTATATAAAACAAAGAAGGAAAGAAAAAGTTTTGGGTTTCTAACATAACACGAACATTTCTATTCGGTGCAACAAAATATTAGAATTAAACAAACCAATCTAATTCCGTTTTTTTATTTGATTTTTAAATTTTATTAATTTTGGGTTTTTGTAGTGTTTTTAATAGTAGGACTCGCAAACATGAGTAGACAAAAGTGTGGCCTAGACAGATCAAGACTTAAAAAATATGAGTTTTATTATAAAAATTATTAGTTTAAACTTAACTTATAACATATCAAAAATTAGTGTTAAACCCGATTTATATGTAAAATTGGTAAAATCTGATTTGATTTTATTAGTATTATGGCAGATCTATTTAAATCATAAAAATATATATTATATTATATCATATTAATATAAATTTATATAATATAAATTATATTTAAAAATATATTTATATATAGCTAACTATATATGTTGGGCTATTAGAGTCCTTAGATAGGCCAAATATAATCAAGTTAAGACTGTTTAAATAAAATATAAATTTCTTAATTTAGACTTAATTAAATAAATGAATTGAGTTAAGGTAGGTTAAAATAGGCTAGGTTATACGTGGCTCACAAAAAGTCTTGATTTATTTTCACCCCTAGTTGTAAATGAAATAATTGAAATAATGACCAAATAAAGTAGAAATTTCAAGTTTTATTATCTGCCATTTTCATAATTTTATGTTCACAAATTTGGTTTTCTCTTATCCTTTTGTCAAATAATGGCTTCTTTAGTAGACTGAATTGAATAGATAGAATAGGCAATATCTAAATAAAATATCTTGACTACAAAATGTCTAGGATTGTTATACTATGTTTGGTAGTTTAATGAAAGTTTGGATGAAATGCTAAATAAATTATACATACCAAAGTATTCTTTCATTTTCTTTATGGTGGTGGAAGACAGTGGAGTTGACGACGGGTGGCAAGTGGTGGGCAACAAGCAAGCATGGTAATGCGTAGGGGGAACGGTGGCGGTGGCCAATGACGGTGGTGGTGGTGTGACAACCCACGACGATGGTGAGTGATGACTTTAGTAGTGGATGACTTGTAAACAATAGAAGTAATATCATCCAAATATACTAGATAGGGATTAGATAAATTACTCATCCCCCCATATAATTTATCTAAATTTAGTTGAATAATTATTCTGTCAAACTTTTTATCGGATTTTATTATTTAGTCTACCAAATATTAGATAAAATTATATATGTTGTCCCAAAAGGCAACTCAAGAGGGGTGAATTGAGTTTTTATCGCGAAAGTTAAGAGTGTGAAAAATTAAAAATAATAATAAATATATTGAATCAAATAAACTTATATAATTCAACAAACAATAAATATAAACAATTTAAGTAAAGTAAAGAGAGTAAGTATAAGAGATGCAAAATCTTTTATAGTAGTTCAACTTTATACTAAAATCTACATTCTCTCTCTCGAACATCAACCGATCGAAGTTCCACTAAATTTCTTGCAATTGACAGAGGCAAAAGAAATCTCAAACAAATAAAGCCCCTTACACTTAACGAGGTAAGAAATCCTGACTACAAAACCTTTAATTCGGTGAGTTTTAAAGATCAATACAAATGGTAATGAAGATAAAGTAGAAATGTAGTAATTCTTCTTAAGTAGAATTAGCTAAGGGTGAGCATGAGCGGGTTCATGCTAAAAAATTACCCGACTCGACAAAGGTGAGTGACAAAAAAATAAAACTGAACCTGCC